AGATACTATAAATTTCGCAGCCGTGTTGGGATTGGCTAAAATGCGCCACGGCGCCGTTTCAACACAATTACAAATCGACTAAACGACCGACTAAAGACAACCCAGAAGCGCCACGAACGCCACGTCCGCTGTTCGACCAAGCATAAGCCCAACGGTGCGAGGCGCCGCTGGTTCCGCGATTGCGTCGAATGCAAGGCTTGCGTGCACTAGCGTACTTGGTGGTCCCATGACACATACTACTACTAGTAGGTCGCGCGACAGTGCTGAACGCCGAAGCATCTCAGCACAATTTGATGGAGGTAGCATCATGTTGCAGGCTCATGCGCCAAGAAACACGGGTGCGACTGACTTCAACTTTAGTCACTTTGGTCAGCTGCCATCATCTCCTTGACGCACATCATCTCCGGAATGGTGCTTGGTTGGAACCAAGCACCAGCACCAGCGTCATGCCTGGCCAAGGCCAACCGGCGGTTGAAGACGGGCGTTCTACTAACTACAGTGCGAACGACTCCTATTGCGTGCGGATATCGAGTTCGCTGCACGACGGCGCGCCACGTACTTGCTGCCTCGCGATGTCTCCACGTGGTTCGAGAAGCCGCTTCTGCGAGACGCCGGTCTTGCATAATACGACAAAATATCCAAGAGCGCCAGACCCAGAGCTGGACCCAGAGTGTGTGTTTTTAACGGCGACGCTGGGACAAGCCAACATATTTAGTCGAACCCCGTTTAGTCGAAACCCGCTTTAGTCATAATTTTGGACTTGCCAGCGACATGGACGCGATCTTGGCCCTCGTCCAGCATGACATTGGCGGCCGGGGCATGGTCCACCTCCTAGATGGTCCACGGGACCGCGCCGCCTTTGCCAACGCCGTTGAGGTCCTCGCCCGCCTTCCGCCGGCCTCGCACGTCGCGATCCTCACGGGCTTTCCGTGCCTCCTCGACTACGACCCGCCCACCGAGACGGACGGCCTTGGCGGGACGTTGGCTCTCGCCCATGCGCTGTACGTGCTAAACCGGCACGTGGTGCACATCCTCACGGACGACGTCAATGCGCCAGTCCTCCGAGCGTGCATGGCGGCCGTGCCCGAGCTTGACATCCAATTACACGCCTTTCCGCCAGGCCATCTCTGGACGGCCGAGACGCGAGCAGCGCTGGCGGCGCTCTACCCCAGTATTGCAGCCTTCGTCGCCATCGAGCGCGCGGGGGCCGCCGACGATGGTGCGCCGGACTGATTGACTGGTACGATGACGTCGCTTGACGTAGGCCACTACTACACGATGCGCGCCCGCGACATGACGGCGATTGTTGCTCCCTTGGACGAGTGCTTTGCGCACGCGCGAGCGCATGGCGTACCGACGATCGCGATCGGCGACGGCGGCAACGAGCTTGGCATGGGCAACGTCGCAGCGACGACCAAAGCCAAGGTGCGCAACGGCGCCACGATCGCGACCAAGCAAGACTGCGACCACTTGCTTGTCGCGTGCATCTCCGACTGGGGCGCGTACGCTCTCTGCGCGGGTCTTGCCGCCTATGAGGGCGACGTGGGGGTCTTGGTCCCGACACACGCCGTCGTTGCAGTGGCCAACGCCATGATGGCTGCTGGCGCACGGGACGGCATCCTCGCCTGCCAAGACACGTTTGTCGATGGACTGCCGCTCGTCGAGACGCTCAATTTGCTGCATGCGCTCCGACATGTGGCTGCAGGGTCAAGCCACGTCACGCGGCTTGTCGGCAAGGTCGGCGAGACCGGTACAAATACGTCAAAGCTTGTCGCTCGACCTCCGGTTTGGTGCAAATAGAATGGCCCATGCTTGGACGTCGCACGACTACAGCGGTGCCCATCCCAGCGTCGCAGCCGTACCTCCGCATCTGTCGCCCGGCGGACCTCGCAAATCTCCCCGAAGATGCCAACGCGCATCACGTCCTCGGTACGCTATTGTGCTGCTTGTTGATGGCTCATATTCGAGTAGAAATTACGGTGCACGAGATCGCAGCGCTTGGCACGATGCTAGATCCAGCACCGTGCTTGGTCAACCTGCAAGTGGGCGAGGCCATGTCTGCCACGGAGCTCTTGGCCGCGCTTGCGCGCTTGCAAGCAGCGAGCTCGGCCTTTCTGGGGCTGGTCGACGTCTCGCTAGATGTACTTGCGCAAGCCTTGCGCCTTGATGCGGCGTTGATGGCGAGCGTTCGATTTGTGACGCAGTGGGACCGCGCCGTGCTGCTGCAAGTGGCGCCGCTGTGCCAGCAGCACAACGTGGCGCTGATGCTGGCCCACGCGTCGCCAAGCGCGCTGCCTTTGCTCCGCGACGACCGTTCGCTCTACTGCGTCGCTGCCCACCTCGTTTAAGCGCTAATGCACGGACCGTATCTTGCCGATTGGCTCGTTTCGGTGTATCACTGTCACGGATTGCTGTGCGTTCATTGGCTGCGATCCACGACAGGACGCGTGCGATTGGGCGGAATCCTGTCTTCGTTGGGGCCTCGTCATTGACGCGTCAGTTCGCATAGCTAGATCCGATGGCCGAGTACAGCGACATTGAGGTCCTCGACGAGAGCGTGGGCGACCAGCGCCGGTCGTCCGCTGGCCACAGCGACGTCGCGCGGTCTTCGTCGGCCACCAAGATGGCGCTCGACCGGACCATCTTTGTCGCTTGCCGCCACTTGCACCTCGCGACGCCGGACGCGACCGTGTATCTGCCGTCGCAGTCAATGCAGCGCGGGCTCGCCTACGCCAAGACGATGATGCAAAAGCAAGCGGGCAGCCCCGACTTTGCCGGCGCCAGCTTTGCCCGCGTCACGATCCGCCCGGCGTCCGAAGCTTGCCATCCGTGCGTCGTGCGCTCCGTGTCGCAAAAGGGCACGAACCCGAGCTACGTCGTCGGCATTGCGCTGCCAGAGACGCTCGACCTCGAGACCGCGACATGCACGATCGAGATTGTCGCCTGCCAGGAGAGCGCGGCGAAGAAGGCACCGGTGCTGGCGTCGACGGCGGCCTTTCCGGCGTCGCACTTGCTCTCGTCCGTGTCGGTGCCGCTCACGGCGCACGTGCCGACAAACCCAATCGACTCGAACACGCCGGTCGTCGACGTGCAGCACGCGCCCCTGTTGCAGTCCATCTACCTCTCGTCGCCGCCGTTTGAGCTGAGCTCGTCGACCAAGTATGCGTTTCCGGGCAAGGTCTTCCTCCAGGAAGATATTTTCGAAGTCGACTTGGCGACGTCGATCCCGCGACAGGTTCTCGAGATGGCGCTGGACGAGACCGAGCACCAAGTGGCTACGTACAGCGCGTATGCGGCGGCGGCGCGGGTCCAAGAGTGTCTCTTTGCGACCCCACTGGACGCGCTGCAGAGCGGCGGGGACGTCTACACCATCCGCGCCCTCTGCGCGCGCGGCCTCGGGAGCGTGCCCACGTCGACGACGTCGACCGTTCAGCACCACTCGTTGGCCTCGAACGCACCGGTCGCTTCGTCCCGCGCCAGCGTCGTCGCGATGGCCAAGTCGATGCGGTCGTCGGCGTTCTCCAAGTTCAAGGGCCTCCAGATTGGCACGACAGAGAAACCTATCGTCATCAACGCCTACTGCGAAGTGACGATCTCGGACCCGCACACGTGCACCGGTGCACCGTGGTGTGCTGCCAAGACGAACGTGATTACAAACTCGACCGAACCGCTGTGGCGCGTCGCGTACACCGGGGCCAAAGTCCACGGCGGCCTGAACGCGGAGGGACACATGTGCTTTTACCGGCCGGCGAATCGCGCCAAGGACGGGTTTCTCGAGTGCAAGGTGTACACCAAGCCGCCGCCGCCGACGTCCATGTCGTCGGCGATCCTCGCGGCCCGCAAGGCGAGCCCGAACCCGTGCTTGGGCACTGTCAAGATCCCGCTGGCGTCGCTGCTCCCGTCAACGACCGACACGGTGGTCACTGCGCCGGGCGAGTGGTACCGACTGCACCAGCCATCGGCGCAAGAAGGCTCGGCCTGCAAGTGCGACGACGACGAGACTGGCGACGGCCCGTGCGTCGGCGAGCTCCTCATCGATCTCGCGGTCACGGCAACGACGGCGTCCTTCCCGGCGGCCACGCCGATGCCGGCCAACCCGCCTCGGTACCGCTGGCTGGATACACTGACTGTCGACAAGGAGCCGTCGATGGCCCTACCGCTGCCGTCTCAGTTCCTCGACGACCATCTAAGCGCGCTCACGAGCTCCCTCGAGACGACCAAGAACGCCCGCGCTATCGCGAGTGAATGGGCCACGTCCCACACGCGCTTCAAGTCGAGTGCGATGAAGAAGGCGGAGAACATCCAAGCGCTTCCGACCAACTTGCACGTCGCAGTGGCCCACGTGACGTCGTCCAGCGACAATGGGCTCCAGGCGCTGCCGACTGTCACGTGCGGCCTCCCCGCCGCGCACGCCTTGGGGCTCGACGACAATGATTTGTGGGCACTGGAAGAGGCGATCCACGAGGCGAGTGCGCACCTCCGAACCCGGCTGTTGGGCGGTCTCCCAGCGCCGTCTCCAACGCGGCCCGACGGGTTTGTGCCGCTGCAGCCCGAGGCGACGCCCGAGACGGCACCCGAGACGACGGACGCCAGTGACGCGAACGAATCGAGGGACACCAAGGAGGACGACGCGTCAATCAAGTCGCGCGCGACCAAGTCGCTCAAAGAACGATCCAAGTTGCTCTCGTCGCTGTATACGCAAGCCAAGACGAAGGCCATTGCGCTCGCCAAGGCGCCGAACGGCGATGACGCGCCGCTTCCGGCCGCGACGCTCCAGTCGCGGCTCGCAGACCTGCGTCTCGAGTACCGATTGCGCAAAACGATGGTGATGGCGCAGGCGCTGGCGCCGATCGTGTCGGCGTTCATCGTGAGCGTCCAGCAGTGCTTGGCGCGGCCTACCGAGGCGCAAGCAGCGTGTTGGGAGCAGTGGCGCACCCGGGGGTACCTCATTGGCTGGGAAAGCCTCGTGAGCTCCCAGGGCAAGGAGCTGCACATGCTTCTCGACGCGTGGATGGCGCTGCAGAGCATCTCGCGCGTCTTTAGCTTCCAGCTCGTCTCGACCGGCAGCATCTGCGTGCTCGACACAATCGTCCAAGTGCCACTGCCGCCGGGCGACTATTCGCGCCTCCCGCCGTCGCTGCAGCGCGACGCGATCGGCGTCGTCGTCGTCCTCTTCACCCAAGGCATCAACGAGATGCAGTCGCTCGCCAACATGTCCAACGCTGCAGGCGTCTCGAAGCAGTCGGTCATCAACAAGGCGAGCCTCCAGAGCCTCGAGCAGTACATGGGCCAAGTCCCGACAGCGCTGCGCGATGCGGTCACCAACGAGAACGGGTCGAGCAAGAACACGGAGATTCTGCACTTGGCGTCCAAGGCCGTGCGGCGTCTCTACGGCGGCCGCGTCACGTGCTGCAAGTCGGGGAAGGACCGGACCGCCATGTCTGTCACGTGGGAGCAGGCGGCGTGGGCGCTCCAAGCCAACGACGACCTTGACAATGCGGACGCGGACGACCTTGAGGCCAGCGACGTGCTGAAAATGGCCAACGTCATGCGCGAGTTTGGCGGTCGCATTGGAATTGCAGAGAAGAACGTCGGCGCGAAACGCTACTCGTTCAACGCACTCCAGCGGAAGCTCCTTCCGCCCTCGTACCGCCCGCCGCTGAGCACGATCCAAGACATGGTCGCGTCCGTGGCGCTCCGCGATTCGTAAACTGTCTTGATTCGGATTTATATAGCACTTTTCTCATTCGCATTGCTCTCGCTGCAGGACGATGTTGTCAACAGGTTAACCAAGAAACCTCGGTTTTGAGGGCGACCCTAGCCCTACCGAGATTGATAGAACTTGGAACTTTGACAATTTCGGTTGAAAAGACTGGCGCGCTGAACACCTACGAGGCCTCAGACGTACAACCTCATACGAATCGACCGGCGCAGCACGTGGAGGAGCTCTCGTCTTGGGCCGGCGGAGCTTGTGGGCTCGTTCGAAGCCATTGCGATTGGCGTCGTTGTGGTTGGAGTATTCTAACCACAGCTACAAGATCACTTGGCTCAGCGGGCTTGAAATTGAACAGATTGATTTAGTTGGTATTTAGTCGATTGTTTAGTTGATATTTAGTTGCTTTTGAAAAGGCAGGGGAGTACGTTGCTTAGCTCGCGCTCGTGTGCGGCGCGCTGGACGGGGTCATGTTGACGGGCGCCGAGAAGAAGCGGGCGGCCTTGGACATCTGCGGGTCTTGGCGACGTTGCCGTACTGAGCTGCTTGCACCGGCGCGGGCATGGCGCTGGCCGCCATTTGCGGCGTGCAGAGGTCAGCCACGTTGACTTCGACGTCGTTGCTGCGCTGCGCCCAGTGCGACTGCATCTTGCCGGCCATGCGGTGCATGCCACGCTCGCGGTAGACGTGCGTGGTTGCCATCGCCGCGCAGCACTCGTCCAAGTCGTCGATGAGCGTCGTGCTCTTGAAGCTCTCGTTCTTGTCCGCAAAGCACGCTTCGTCGCGCTTGATCTTGGCCTTGAGCGTGCGGAGGACGTCTTGGCCGCCGCTCAAGTTGCCCTTCTGCGCTTCCTGCTGCGCGGCTTCGAGCGCTTCGGCCGTCTCAATGCGGTGCTTTTGCTGCACGACGAGCGCATCCAGCGACGCGTCCGTCACTGTCACCGGGCGTCCGACGGCGACACTTGTCGACGTGGTCTCGAGCGACGACGTCAGCACGTTGGCATAGCGGACGTTGAACGTCACGAGCGGCTGGTCCGTGTCGGCGGCCGGCCACGCCGCGAGCGTCAGCTGGACCAGGATATCGCGCTCTTCCTCGGCGTACATGTCGCCGAGGTCCACGGTGTAGGACGTGCTGGGCGAGTTTGTCGTCACCGGCCGCTTGGTCTTGAGGCTCGCGATCGAGACGTTGGCGGCTGCGACGCACTCGACTTTGATGTTTTGGGCCACGACGCTGAGGAGGCCGCCGAGGCAGTCGGCGAACGCGAGCGAGACGCTGTCGAGGTTCTGCACAAAGTAGTACGACCCGCGTCCGAGGTCCGAGAGCTCGCGCAGCAGCTCCGCGTCGTGGTCCGAGCCGTAGCCAAAGGTGAAGAGCGACACGTTCTTGGACAAGACGCCTTCGAGGAGCTCGACGAGGCCGCTCCGCGACGAGATGCCGGCGTTGGCAAGGCCGTCCGTGAGCAGCAAGACCGACTGCACCGGGTTGGGCTCGCCTGAATCGGGCCGCGACGACGACTGGACTTCTTCAAGGCCCGCAAGGAGACCGCCGCTGAGGTTGGTGCACGAGCCGGCGTGGACGCCCTGGACCTTGGACGCGAGGAGCGCCTTTCCGGCCGGCGTCATCTTGGTCAGGCGCAGGTTCGTCGTCACGTACGTGTCGTAGGTCACGAGCGAGACGCGGTCGTGGGGCGAGAGCTCGTGCGCGAGGAAGTCGAGCGTCTGCTTGCACAAGTCGAGCTTGGAGCCGCTCATGCTGCCCGAGCGGTCGAGCACGACGACCAAGTCGATGGGCTTGCGGTCGCTCTCTTCGCAGGGCGGTGCCACGATGTGGCAGTTGACAAAGGTCGTCGCGGCCGTCTCGGCAGACGCGATCTGCTTGTGCTCGGCAGCCGACGAGACGCTGAGGGCCTTGGACAGAGGAAGCGGCGACATGCTGGCTGGTTGGTGGCGAATTCGGAACTGCTTCGACCGTCGAGAGACCAAGGATGTTGGTGACCATCATTCAGGCTGGATCGTTTTTCGAAGAAAGGGACGCCAGTGATTGGTCGGATTTATGGGGATTTGAAATGGCGCGCTGTGATTGGCGGAAGCGTTGCGACAGAGGCTTCAAATCAAGTCGCAGATCCAGCGCCAAAGCTAAACCAACTTGATATGTGCAAGCTTGGGTCCCAGCTAGGATCTGGTCCAACTGCAGATCTGGTCAATGCTCGAGCCACAATGCTTCCTCCATCAGTCCGAATCGCTTCCTGTCCGATTTGGACTTGGCTGTCCAGATGCATCTCGGTGGATTTGTTCTACAGTATCCTGCCTGCATTGCTCGATGTTGGACCCGGTGTTATTAGGGTGGTAGCACTTGGGGTCGAACCACTCGCCGAGTGCTAGTGCGCATAACAAAGTACGACGGAAGTGTTTCGTCCTGTTATAACACGCAGCCCATGCTTCTCTTCTACTCAAACTCCATGATGATGTCGTCGACCTTGAGCGACGCGCCGGCTTGGTGCGACACCGACTT